ATCTCCCTGAACAATCCCCCCACCATGCCCAGTCAGGCTTGTTTAAAAACACATTTGTCTGATTTCGGTTCACTTATTACTGCCTGAAACATGGGCATGTTTTGATTGTAAATTCGCTGTCTGACTCCCCCAACCAGAGTGGATGCTCCACGGGCAGGGAATCTTCTGTCTTGTTCACTACTGTACCTTTACTTTAGCATCTAGCACAAAGCCTGGCTGCCTTCTGGCCCCAGCTCTGCTGAATTAGCAGACGGATTTCCTTCCACCCCCTGCCCATTTCCCTCATGAGCTCTGTTCACAATCCTTAGGGGCCCCAGCGCCATCTCTAAATAATATGAATGTAACTCTCTCCCCTTAGTCCCTCAGTTAGCTGATCAAAGAAAGTCAAGTACCTGGGCAGTTGTTGCAGGCTGAGCTGTCAGGAATTTTCCTTACGATGCCCTTGATCTCCTGGTCCTGAGAGGGATCTCAAGTAAACCAGGATTTGCTCGTACCTGAGTAGAGCCAACTTCACAAATATCCAGACTGACAAATCTTTACTGAGAGATGTTTTTATTACAACTCCCAGGGCATTTCAATGTGTGAGTAGAGGCCATTAACTAACTGACAGTGAAGCAGCTGATAAGGGTGGGGGGAAGGGAGGCGGAGAAGCTAAAATTAAATGACAAGCTGCCTTGTCAACTGGAGTAGATTCAGAAATGATAAACCATCTTGGGAACCAATGAGAAAGAGAAAATCAAATAATGAGAATTCAAATTTTTCAGAACACTATTGATGCAGAAGGAGATGTTTCATTTTTGTTGCTTGCAAATAAATTTCCTATCGGGTCCATTGCTTAAACCATTTTACCTACAATTACTGCTTCCTTCCCACCCACCATCTATCTGGTGCTCTACATCTATGGATAACCTGTACGAAGCACTTCTTTCTCTCTCTCTCTTTCTCTTTCTTTGTCTTTTCCTTCCTTCCTTCCTTCCTCCCTTCCTTCCTATCTGTCTATCTAGCTGTCCGTGGACCTTGGGTTGTTTACATCAAGCCCATCCCCCCGGCTCTGCCTGAGCATTAGCAAATCTTTCTACTGGTCAAGGCAACTGGAAAAGTGAGCTAGAGGTTGAGAAAATAAATTCTAATGGCATATGGTCCTGAGACTGACACCCACCAATGCTACATGCTTCCTATGATCTTGGGCAAATTCCTTAACCTCTGTTCCTCACCTGGAAACTGGGAATCATAAGAGCACCTATGTATTAGGGCTCTTGAGGAGTCAAGGGGAGAAGCCAGTTCCTGGCAAATGGCAAATATCAGTGAGAGTGGGAAGCATGATAATGCTACCAAGCCAATAATGAAATTCCAACTGCTCTCAGACTTTTTTTTCCCATTTCTAGCACACCTAGTTTCTGGGTAACCACCACCTGGAGACTAGGGAAGCATTCACCACTGCAAGTCAGGCTTTCTTGGTACACCCCAGGGACTGCCTGTCAAGAGGAAAGCTGACACCAGGGATTTCAACCTTACTGGGCTTCCTCATTCTATTAATCTGGCCGTTAAGCAGAGAGAGTCCTGCTGATGCCAACAGATGCAAAGCTCTGTTGTGCTAATGGCAGAGAGCATTAGATGACTCCTCAGCAGCCCATCAATCCATCTCCTCCAACTCAGAACAGCTGCATGGGGACAGATTCACCAAGCAAGGGTGAAGGCCTGATGCAATGAATACCAGGGGAGGGGGTGGTGCATGGAGGGAAGGGCCCCTGGTGGCTCAATGACCCTATGCAGGCTGGGTCCTGTGCAAGTGAAGTCACTGATGTATGATGTATGGACATGGCTGGCTGTGAAATCTAAAAGGCAGGCCCATCTGTGGCACCTGTGCTCTCTAAGCAGCAAAGGATGCTGGGAAGAGGAAGTGGACACCGATCCAGGGCTCAGAGCACATCTGCCAGTCCCTCTGCATGGTTGGTTCTTCCAGGCTCAGCCACATCTGCCGTCTTGCTTGTGCCATATGGGTAATATTTGGGGCACCAGTTTCTGCCAGAGAATGCTTCTTTGCTCCTCTTGTCTGACCTGCCTACTGGCAGCTGAATGGAATCCCACTTTGAGTCACACGATGGGCTGAGACCCAGCACTGAGTAAGATCTGGCCAGACTTGTGCCAACAGTTAAAAAAAAAAATCTGGTTGGGTTCCAATGTCTCTTTAACATGGGAAATCAGAACTCAGGGAAAGACAACAACATCCTACGGCTCCCCAAAGGCCAAGAACCAGATGAGACTGATGGAGTGTTGTTTGGAGACAAATTGAGTCATTTCCCCAGTGGCGTGGCACACATGCAGAAAGCCCGTCTCGTGCCATGGCTGGCTGCAGGTCGAGGCTCGGGTCTCTTGGGCTAATGGATGTGACTCTAAGAGAGGCCACTGTGTAGGGGTGAGCTGTCACACTCACAATGTGCTGACCAAAGCTGCTGGCATGGGACTGGCCTTTCCCATGGAGGCTTTGAAGGGCTGATTAGATGGTTTCCATAGTGAAGGATTCAGGAGGGCCAAGGACAGAACTGTCTGGCGTAGAGCCACTCCACTCTCCACTCCCAGGAGGTAAGATTTGGCTTATAGAATTCTGGACACAGACTGTTTTCCCAGGGGTATTCCTCGGTCTAATGAGTCTTCCTTGTGGGAAGGAACTGATAAAGAAGAGAAGGGCCATCATTTTTTAAAACACCCTGGAAGTTCTATTGCAATCTGCTGGGTCACCTGGAGAGATGTGTTTCCCCAAATGCAGCACACCTACCCCTGGGAGGACTTTAGATGCTTTTAGAAGCCACTCAAAGGAACTTTTAAATTTTATTGACTTAATATTTATTTTAATGTTTTGCAAAAAAACATAACTAGCACATCAAACTTGTGATTTCACCAACTGTATTGATTGAAACTGTTTCTCAACCTTAGCACTATTGGCATTTTAGGCTGGGTAATTCCTTTCTCTGGGTGGGGGAGTGGCTTGTGTATTGGGGGCTATTTAGCAGCATCCCTGGTTTCTACCTACTAAGTACTAGCAGTAACCCACCCCACAAGAGGCAATAACCCAGAATGTCTCCAGACATTGTCCAGTGCCCTTGGGGGGATTGAAGATACTCCTGACTGGGAGCCATTAGCTCAGGATACATCTACTTCTGAAAGTAAAAAAAAAATAATAATAATTCAAGGAAAAATGTATTTTTAGGTGTTTTAATAGAACAAGTGCAATTCACCTATGGCAAACTTGGCTGAGATAATATGTGAATGGCAGAAGTTTGGAAAAGTCAGACCAGAGGATCACCAAACAGGCAGAAGAAACTGGGTCTTTATCTACCCCCTCCACGTCTCACCCACTGCTCCTTCCTGTCAACTCTGTTGTCTGGTCAACCCTGAAGCCAACGTAACTAAATATGTGTGCTGGGAAATCTACGGACAGAAGAATACAAAGAAACCCTGAGAATCCCTACAACATCTGGCCTTCCTGCTCAAGGAAGGAAGAGTAGGGGAGGTTCCTGCCTCGCACCCTTTGGGAAGATTGAGGCAGAGATGCAGTGAGAGGGCAGGAGCCCCAGAAGAGAGGGGGGAGAGAGAGAGACAGAGACAGAGAGACAGAGACAGGCTGTCCTTTCCAGAGAGCTCCAGAAACACCCAGGAGCTGCTATTCAGCCTTGAAATGTTCCAACAGGTTTGTCTGTGTCTCACTTTCAAAAACTGTTAGCTGTGGGGCTCTTGATAGCATCCATCCTGTCTGCCTTCTCTCTTTACTCTCTGACCAATTCACAATGATAAGGACATGGTCAATCCAAAAGTACACCACCCCCTTCAGTTCTCGTCTGAAAGGTAACAGTTCTCTTGATTTAAAAAGCTAACATCACAAGTACTTAGGCCAGGGGTGCCAAACTCATTTTCACTGGGGGCCACATCAGCCTCACGGTTGCCTTCAAAGTGCCCAATGTAATTTCAACTCCTTAACAGTTAAGGAGTAGTTACATTTATACAGTCCTAAAATTATTTTGGCCCTTTGAAGGCAACCACAAGGCTGACATGGCCCCCAGTGAAAATGAGTTTGACACCCCTGACTTAGGTCTATATCGATGACTTTATGACTCTCTATCGAGAATTCCCTGTAGTTCTCACCACAACCCTGCAAGGTGGACACTCTCACTGTGGTAATATTCTAGACAAGAAGAGGGAGGCCTAGAGGTTAAGTGACCTCTCAGGGCCAGGAGATGTGGATCTGAAATTCCACCTGGGTCTGTTGGACTCCAAGGCAGAGATGCAGTGATGCAGCTCGTGGCTGGGCTGCTGTCCTCTCTCTCTGGAAAGTGAAATGAGAGCCATGTCCTCCTTACGAGGTCCATTGGTCACCTGCCCCACACAGAAACAGCATTGCCATCCAGATTCTTCACAGCTGCTGCCCTCACTGCCATGGAGAGAAAGTTCTCCAAACCCAAAGTCATGGAAGAACAACCACATCCCACTGCATGGCTCCCCCTGCCTCGCTCTCCCTTTCCACTCACCTCCTCAGGATTGCTGGTCAGAAGCACAGGATGGAGGGAACTCAAAGGAAACGGATATGGTTCTTTTTATGGTGCTTTCATTTATTTTTATTTTTAATTGAATTTATTGGGGTGACATGAGTTAATAAAATTATATAGGTTTCAATGTGCAATGATATAACACATCATCTGTACACTGTATTGTATGTTCGCCACCAAAGTCAAGTCTCCTTCCATCACCATTTATCCTCGCAATGTCCTCTTCTACCTCCTATTGTGCTTTCAGACACTGTGCACACACGTGTGTACACACACAATGAGCTGGTGTGTGAACCCACATGTGCATGCCTGCACATCCTGACAGGACAGGACAGCCTTATGTGGCTGCCCTAGCTTTCTGAGCCATGGAGCCAAAAGGACACACAGATGTTCCCTGGAGATTGGGTGCAGGAACGTCAGTGCAGAAATACGGGACAAAGACCAGGGGAAGGTACTGACCTGGGTCTCCAGGGTGATCAGCGGACTTGGGTGTGGGTCCTGTGGGAGGAAAGGAGAAAGCACACATGAGTGGTGGGCAAATGTAACCCTTTTCCCCAGCATCATTTAAAACAAAGCTAGATCTCTTCAGTGCCTGAGCAATCCACAGGTAAGCTGCCCAACTCTGTCTCCCCCAGTCTGTGAGACTTGAGAACAGCGTGGCCCAATCTCCAATATCCCCCCAATACCCAGATGGTTAAGGATGCTCAAGTTTTTCATGAAGAGGTGAAGAGGACACCTACATGGAGATCATGCAAAACGATGAAGTATAAAGAAATACGGAATGAAGTATGTTCAGTCTCTATATGAAGGAAAAGATGTATCCATAAGAGGATTAGAAATAAACCTGAAAGAACATAGAATCCCAGTTAGAGGCAAGGCCAGCAGCTTGTGTCTGTCTGATCTTGGAAAGAATGAGGGAAGAAATGAGATAGAGATAGAGAAAGAAAAGAGCTTAATTCTTGGTTTGCAGAGCACATTCCAATGGGCTGGGGAAGACCTTTTTCAGGGGCCAGAGGGCCAGAGAAAAGTCCAATTCATTCGCTCTCTAAAAAAGCCAATTGACTGGAAATGCTTGGTGGTCATGTCTCGGGTCATTAAACATGAACTCTCTGGGTGGAGGCCAGGGTGGGTACGGAGGTGGAAGGGACGAATGGGAAGGAGGTAGTGGTTTTCAGCTAGCGGTTTCCAAGAAAAACAGGAAACCTGGCACATAAAGGCTATTTTTGTCTGTACAATGTTGGCTCTGAACTTAACTGTCTTGGATTTGTAATTCTGGGAAAGCAATCTCAAGCTGCCTCTTACAGAGAATGGGCATGACACACAAACTCAGTTGGAAGCTTTGCTTTATCCAAGCAGATTTCCCAATACAGGCGTCTAGGAAGCCATTCAAATTAGCCCCAGCTCACTGGCCTATATGGTGAACAAGAAAGAACACATGTAGGGATCATGCCATATTTGTCCTTCTGTGTCTAAGTTATTTCACTTGGTATAATGTCCCCAAGGTACATCTATCTTGTCACATATACCAGGATTTCCTTCTTTTTAAAGGTTGAGTATTATTCAATTAATGCACATATCACATTTTCTTCCATCATCTACCAACGGACATTTAGGTTGTTTACATATCTTGGTTATTGTAAATATGGCTACAATGGACATGGGAGTGCATATACTATTCCACTGATATGCAGAATCTAAACAGTCAAACTCACAGAAGCAGAGATTAGAATGATGGTTGCCAGGGGCTTGGGGGGAGGGGGAGGGAATAGGGAATTGGGAGTTGCTCTTCAAGGAGTATGAACTTTCAGTTGAGGAAGACGAATGAGCTGTAGAGAACTGCTGTACAACATCGTACCTGAGGTCAACAGTATGTTTTGTACACTTACAATTTTGTCAACAGGGTAAACCTCATGTTAAGTGTTCTCATCACAATAAAAAAAGGACTGATAGAAAAACTGACACATTTTGAACCCTTACCCTAGGTGAACTGTGGTCTCTTTACAATGACACCTATTTATAATAATTCTGATGAGTGTAGGAGCCATGAACCCAGGGGCATTTTGAGCTCTGGTCAGTTCTGACTTTTCAAGATAGGGGACTCCTCTCCCTGAGTTCCACTTCTGAGTCTAAATGCCAGCATTTCTTCAATGGTAAAATTGGCAAGAGAACATCTCACTCTAATTTCCACATTCCATCCAGGCACTGAATCCTTCTCACACCCCAGGAAAATACTGAGGGGAACATTTCTCCCACTCCTCCCACATTGCAGCCTCGGGGGAACTGGAAGAGTCTTGGAAAGAATACTTCAAACCCTGACCGGCTCTTCCCCAATGGCAGCTATGACGGGTGAGAACCTTCACTGAGCCACTTTTTTCAAGTGAGCAGGCTGACTAGTGTAGCTGTCCTTCACAGAGCCCCTCCAGCCAGCCCCTTGGTCCCTGGTACACAGGGAGAGTTATGCTTCCAGGTTCCCTGTGTTAAGCAAGCACACTGGACAGGGCTCATTTTTGCCTTCAGGGGGCAAGGCCATCCCCCCCAGTGAGTGACAGGCAGCGTGAGTCAGATCATAGGAGTGCTGCTTAGTGAGTGAGAGCATGCCACGTCTGCTCTTCAGCTCAGAGAAGTCTGTGTGTGTCTGTCTCTCTCCATTCAGATCTCACCAACGAGATTTTGATTGAAAGATAAGCTGCTTCGGAGACTCAAACCTTAGCCTCTTTCCCAAAGCCACAACCTTGCAAAGCACTACATTGGGGTGTTGGGTGTGTGCCCAGATTAATTAAGTTGTACTTCGCAGCCCATTTGGCCATTGTTTGGGGCTTATGCTTCATTGCTCAGAATCCCAAGGGGGTGAAGAGGGGAAAATGCCATCGCCATGTGAGCCCCTAAGAACAACTTCACTAGAAAAGACCTTCCTTGGGAAACCACAGGAAATCTTCTGTCAACTGTTTTGACAAAACCAAGAGCCTCATGCCTGGATACAGTAATGTACCAACTCTGTATTTGATGTTCCAAGATCAGAGACCCTATGGGTACATGGTCAGGGGTCCAATATTCATTAAAAAGCTTCTGGAAGACAAAAGCACAAATGCTATCTATTTAGCATGTTAATTTCCTAGCCAAGAAGATAAAGTACTCACAAGTGGCTGGTCATTAACATTAGGATTCACTTGCCAACAGAATTTTGCTCCCCTCCCTCTGTGCACATTTGAAATATAGGCCTCTCCCTACAGAGCCTCAATCCAGAAGATCCTTAAGGTATGACTACTTACTTATCTGTGAGGTCTCACTTTCAGCAACATCTTCCTTAATTGGAAAGGCTAACGAAGTGGAACCGGGTCAATGATGCTGTCTGCCTAATCCATCCTGTCTGTCTAAACTGGGATCCTTTGCTTTACAGTAGAGCAAATTCCTGCCTGTCAGAGGAAAGGCTCCTCTGGAACAAAGGGGAATTTGCAGTGCGCTCTGATGCTTCGGAGTGCTTTTAGAATCTCAATGAGGTAACAGGAACCAGGGAAGCACCTAAAGCAAGGAAAGCCCTTTCACAGCAGGTATTGCAATGACTAAATTGGGGAAGTCAGAGAACTAGGTAGACTGAATTCATGGCCCTCATTCTCCATCACTCCCTATATCCATACCCTATGGTCATTTAAGTTGGCACTTCTTTGTAGAGTGTGCTTCCTCATCCTCTGGCCTCAGCCTTGTCCATCTGACTTGCTTTGTCCAATGGGAGGTTAGCAGATATGGCATAAGCAGCAGCTTGAAATGTGCTTGTGAGATCCAGCAGGACCTCTGGTGCTTTTGCCCTCAGCACAACGAACATGCCCCAGGTAGCCTGCTGGTCCAGGGAGGACTGCAGACACAGGGAACAGATCTGGACCTGACCTACAGCTTGAATCCAAGCCCAGTCTACATCAGCCACCCACAGCCAACCTTCACACAAACTGTAAGCCTATTTTTCCCTCACCCTGTATATTTATTTTAACCCCTTGAGTTTACAGGTGATCTGTTATACAGGAAGAGCCTCATTTTATTGGGCTTAATAGATACTGTGTTTTTACAAATTGAAGGTAAGATTCTCCCCCAGCAAAAAGATTACAACTTGCTGAATGCTCAGGTGATGGTTAACACTTTTTTTTTAATCAATAAAGTATTTTTAATTAAGCTCTGTACATTGTTGTTTTAGACATGACATTTCACTCATAATAGACAACAGTACAATGTAAACATAACTTTTATATGCACTGGGAAATCCAAAAATGTGTACTGGGAAACCCCAAAATCCATACTTCTGTGGTCTGGAACCAAACCCGCAGCGTCTCTGAGGTGCGCCTTGGAGACGTAAGGCATCGTTATGGCTGTACCTAACTGATATGTTTTCCAAAGACTGATCATGACAGAACCAAAACTTACCGTAAAAACACTCCAGCCTTGGAAACAAAAGATACATTTCTCCCTAAGTCTGCAAATATATCCCAGGGACCTGAAATAACAATAACTAATAGCTACAATTTATTGAGAACCTACCATGTCCCAAGCTCCATGAAAGGTGTGTATTACGCCAAGCAAAGGGATACTTGACCGTAAGGATCTAGTGCCACCTACGAGTTAGCCCTCAGCCCTCTTTGCCAAGTACACCAGTCCTTCTGAAGCTATTCAGAGGCCATGACAACACCACTAATGGAAATAATCACGCAGAATCCTCTTGCCCTGAGATCAAGACAGTTTTCATTCCTCTGGTTTATTCTATACTTTATCCCATGGACATATTCCTTGACCAAGGTTAAGAATATTCATGAAAACTAGGAATAATTAGTAATTTACTAAGGTGATAATGAACTAATAACTTGTTAAGTTCTTACCATGTTCCAGGTACTAGCTTAACCTCTACAGAATTATCACTCCATTTACCCCTTACAACAATCCAATGAGGAAGATACTACCGTTATTCCCATTCAGAGATGGGTGAACTGAAGACCAGAGAGACGAGTGACCTGTCCTAGGTTATACAGATGGTGCTGAAGGTGGAAGTGATCCCAGCGCCCTGCCCTTGAGAAACATCTGCTCTGTTATTTCATCGTGGTTCTATCCAAAAGTGCAGGCCCACCTCAGAGTAATCTTGCAACCTGGGTTATTTTTATCAAAAGGAAGAATACTCACAGCAAATAAAAGGTTCCACTGTAACAACTACTAGAATCCATTTTTAGCATGTGTCTTTTTTTAAAGGGAGTGGACATGGTTGATGGAAATTAGAACACGTGTCATGACTAAAAACAAAACCCAGTGGCTTTGCCACAACAGGGAACTGGGTAGAGTTAGCCACATCCAACCACACACGTTTACTGAGTTCCAATTCAGCAGCTATCGCTATGCCTGGCGGGCACCATGAGGGACAGGGAAATGAGTTTAAAGAGATTCTGTGTACACTTCTATTCCCAAAGCTAACTGTTTAAATAAGAGGTGGGAGCCCGATTACAGGTCCTGGAGAAATGAGACTTGTT